TATATATATTGTTTAACTGTTTGTCCGGATGATTTCTTTATGTTTACCCCCAAAAAACCTTGCTGTATTTTGAGAAGTTTTTACATATTCAACTTTCTTTGCAGTCATCGAGTTTGGAACACCCTGTAGAGCTATATACCGAGCATGAGTTAGATACTTTATTCCATTCCGTGAGCGTTTAGAAGAGATTGTTTTTCCATGGCGCATTAAAAAACTGACTTGTCCCTTTTAAGGAAACGTATCAAATATTGGGTGCCACCACTTTCATAAGTCCAACAGCTGAGGTAATGGCTGTGCTGTTGATCGTAAAAGGAGTGATTCGCATTACGGAAACAAATTTCAGGAGTATAACCCCCTCCTATCTGATAAGATGCTGTAATTTAGTCCAGTTTGACCAGGGCCGAAAATAAAAAGATGTTTCTCCGTGGTGGAATTTGGCTTTCGTCAGTTTTGGGGCCTAGAGAGTTATGGTATCATCTTAAAGTTTGTTTATTTATCTTACTTTTGATTAAGAAAAAATATCCAACGACAGTGTAATCCCCCCCCCCCCAAAAAAAAAAGTTTAAAACTTGTTTTTTTCTGAATGCCTCGCACAAAAACTGTTCTAGAATGTGACAATTTGGAACAGACGTTATTCCTTCAAAAGGAATTTGTTTGACTTAAAATTCATAAAGATAAAACTTATTCTTGAAAACAAAAACGGCTTACCTTTTTCTTTAACTTAAAGAAAAAAGCACCCATAAACGCAAAATGCACCTATTAAAATATATTTAAGGAAAGCCGTGAATCGATTGGTTTGCTTTTTTTCTTCCTTTGCTCTTTAACATTTCATTTGTAATTCCCTGTAATATTTAAACAATAGTTCATTTCTCTTATAAAATTTTAAAAACTAACTTTATTATTCTAGAATTCTCAGAGCCAGTGCTCTACAAGTCCTCCTTTGGATTCGAAAATTTTTTAACGCGCTGTTGGTGGTGGCCAAACATAAGGACCCGCTAAACCATGAATGCTTAAACTTTTCTTTACAAAGTGTCTTCTATATATTTAATAGGGAGTGGGTGGGGTACCCAATAAACAGCATTTTTAGGAGTTTACATATCCTGAAAGGTGAAAATGGGTTCTGCCACTAAACCAAATGTCTCTGAGGAAATGTTCCCTCTTTTCAAGACGACTGAGGAACCATGAACATAATAATATTGCCATCCTCTGATCCATGTCAACCTCACGAACATAAAAATGTTACTGTCACTGTCATTGGTGCAGATCTACCTTGAGAAAGCGGACTGCTGAGGTGTAGGAAAATCCTAGCTGCAGATCGTCAGCGGACAGACGTTTTATGGAATCAGCTACTGAACTCTGTATCCTTGAGTTTTTGAGCTGTTTTTATTCACACTGACAGAATATCTCTACCTATGCCATCAAAGAAGGCATTGAGGGCACATTAGCGTTCATCCGTACCTGTGCGAAACTTTCAAAATGTAGGGGGTGATGAGTTGGAGGCAGAGTGTGCTCAATACAAAAATGCTCTCTGCACTTTACTAAACTTAACTATGATCTCAGCAGACAAAAGGAATCTTGAGAAAAACAATATCTGCAAACTTCTGTTGATATGTTAGACTACTGTATCTTGCAATATGGTGCAATTGTTCCGACTCTCAGTGGCAGGCCTAATGCGAACTGGTGCGTCATGCTACTCAAATGGGGACTAGGCAAAAATGGGTTGCTTTCTTTTGGGCTATACAGAGCTTGTTCTTGTTCTTGTTTCAGGAAGCAACATCCCTGCACTCCGGACATGTCCATTGATGCTCCGTTGCTCTCTCCAAAATGTTGCCGAGGGTCCCTCTACTGATTGTGCCAGTGCACATCTGGTTGAACGTTCTTCTGTTCTTTCCTGCAAGGATGCCAGATTTTCCGCTTTCTTTTTTTATTCCTTAAAGCATCATCCTCTCCACGGTAGTACTGGCCTCTGCCTCCCTATCTTCCTCCTCAATCAGTTGGCGAGAAAGACATTTCAGGATCTCGACCCTATCTGGTTGAACCGTGTTGTCAACTAAGGTGGCCTCACCAACCATTCTGTCGGCTTTTTCATTTCCCCTAACACCTGCAAGGCCAGGGCAGAAAATCCATGTGAGCGATCGTATAGGCGTTGGTTCGATAGCTTGAATCCATTCCGTTCTCAGGAAACCTTTTTCGATCCTTCTGAGAGTACACATGGAATCAGTGATAAGAACAGCATGGGTTGTGTGGGGGCGATCTTGGGTTATCCAATCAAGTGCTTTCGTGATGGCTTCAATTTCCATTCGCATACTTGATGTAGCCCTGCTGCAGGCTCCAGATGCACTGTGTATGATTTTATTGTTGGCGAATGCAACAAATCCCCATCCACTTCTCTGGCTATATCTTTTCACTGAACCATCTGTATAAATTATAGGATCCCCTGCTTTTGAGTTTGTGTCAACAGTCTCGTTGATATCGCTCTCGTTGATGGCAGCAGCAACATTTCTTCTGTCTCTGCCCATGCTTATTTTGACCTTGGTGAGGTCCCTGTATTCTCCGGCCACCTGCTCCCATTCTTCGCCTAGTGGTAGGCTCTCAGGTACACAGATTGTTCTCAGGGAATCCTCTGCTTCCGCCATTCAAGATTTTCCTCTCTTGATTCTGACTCTCCTGTTGTCATGAAGTGCTTTGTGAAGTGGACGATCCTTCTTGCCCTTTACATTGAGATACATCTTTGCCTGAGCCATCATATGGCGTACTCTGATGCCACTTAAACCTAGCAAGTAGCGCATGCACAATAATGAAGTGTCCTTGGTGCAGCCCAGCACTGCTCTCATTGCCTCATTCTGCACTCGATCCAGCTTTGCGATCTCTGTGTCGGACAGCGTGAGACAGCCCAATCCGTAATCAATGACAGACAAGACGACCAGCTGCAACATCAGGAAGAGCACTCTTTGCGGAATCAGAGCGGCCGCCATGGTCTTGATTGCACCAACACCTCGTTTGGCCGTTGTTACCGCATGATTCACATGCTTGTTGAAGGACAACGACCTGTCGAAGACGATTCCCAGATACTTCACCTCTGACTGTCTGTCGATAATCTCATAGTTGCAAGTGATTGGTGGAGTTATGTCTTGGACAATCCTGTTGTTGAGGGAACACCAAAGTACCTGCGCCTTTGAAGGATTGATGACTGCTTCATTTTGGTTGCACCATTTTACAACTGAGTGAAGTCTTTTCTCCATGTTTCTTACCAACTGAAGTCTGTCATCTCCGTGCTCGTATGCCATTATGTCATCCGAAAGCTCAGGACACGTCCAGATTCTTTTTGATGTATCGTTACCTGTGCAGTGTATACATTGAAAAGCACAGGAGAGAGGGGGGATCCTTGGGGCAGTCCTGGAGCAATTGATACCGAATCTGAAGTCCATTCACCCAGTCTCAGGGCCATTTTTCTATCCACCAGGGCTACTGCTACCCATCTCACCAGCCATTTGTCTACATCAAATTCCAGGAGACGGTCGATCAAACGTTTATAGCTGACTCGGTTGTAAGCATCCTCAAGGTCAAGTGCCGTCACAACTGTTTCCTTCCGCTGCTGAAAGCCTTCATAGATGTCGTACGCCATGACAGCCGCATTTACTGAGGTTTCTCGATGGGGTCTATAGCTGCCAAGCTCATTTGACAACAGGGACTTCCTCTCTAAGTGTGCCGATATTCGTCCGGCAACTATCTTTTCCAGAATTTTCCCATAGGTGTTCTGCATGGCTATCATCTTGTAACCACTGAGAGCCGAGTGGTCTCTTCCTGGTTTGGGGATTGGTATCAACCAGCTGTGCAACCATTCTTCAGGGATTTCACCTGTGCCAATGCTTTTGTTGAAGTCTTTTGTTATTCCTTCAATCATCTCATCATCTGCCTCTTTCATGTGGCAATATCTTACACCATCCGGCCCTCCAGCACTGTCCTTGGCATGTCTTATCGTTCTGGAAACCTCATCTGTAGATATCACATCCTCGTAGTTTGCATACATTTCTGGTGTTAGCACTCTAGAAACATCTCTTTCAACTTCCTTTCTTGAGTCAATATTTCCCTGGTGTGTTTGATGGATGAATCGGTCCAAGAAAGCCCTACCTTTCTCCTCATCAGTTTGGAGTGTCTTTCCTGACTCGTCCTTCACATTCACGGTGGTTTTTGAGTGACCCTGACCACACATCTTCTATTGCAGTTTCCAGAACGTTGAGAGTGCCTTCTCAGCTGCAATGTTTTTTACAAAATCTTCCCACTTTGCTGTTTTGGCCAGATGGGCTTCAGCTTTGAACCTATCTCGGGCTTGCCTCATCTTCTCTCTAGCAGCCTCCCTCTCTTCCTCAGTGACAATGGGGTTCTTCCTCTTTCTTTGTCAGTCCTTAACAGCTTTCCTCTTCTCTTTCCACAGGCAATCGATTTCATTGCTCCACCATGGTGGCTGCGTAACGTTAGATCTTGAGGGTTTTCTGTTCCAGGCCTTCTTTCTCAGGCCTCCCAAGACCGAGGTGTCTGGTTTGTACTTAAACACCCTCTTGACCTTTTGTCTCACTTTCTTTCCACCCTTTGATATAAGAACTGAGCATGGTAGGTGGTCGCTACCGTGATCTGCCAGTACACTCCATTGTGTAAAAGCTTCGCCACCTGTTTTGATCAGGGCCAGATCTATATTGGAGTCCTGTTCACCAGTTCTTTGAGATAGTCTTGTCATGGTAGAAATGTTGAGCATGTGGAGATCACTTTCAATCAACTTGCTGTCCAAAGCCTTTCCCTGACCATTTTCGTTGACATTGCCCCAGGCCGAGCTTCTGGCATTGAAGTCCCCAACGATCAGGACAACATCTCCAAGATCGCACAGCTCATGGAGAAACTCCCAGTCATCTTCCTTGACAAGTTTTCCACCTCCAGCATAGAGATATACAAAGCAAAACTATTCTGTGGAACTATCTAAAATGAACATCAGATAAATTCCTTTTAGCTGTGAAATTTGAAACACAAAGCACCAGTGTGGAGGAAAATATTTAAAAAACAGTTGTTAATTTTTTTTTATCACCCTGCATCTTGAACAGAAGTCAAGGTAATATATTGCATTGAAGGGGTGGGGGTCGTTTGGCGTCAGAGGTAAAATTAGCAAGATGGCCGCCAAGGTTTACAGACTTTCAAAGCTTGAGTTTCCCTCAGAAACAGCAAATTTAAATTGGTGTGCTTTTTATCAATGTACTTTTCAGTAAAATCGACACAAAGATATTTTTCAATGGACTTAAAAGGCATTTAGCCAAAAGAAAATGGTAAGAAGTTTCCAACGGGCGGAACAATGCTGATATCTCTGATTTAGTGGCGTCGGTGGCCTAGTGGTTAGGCTACCGGACTTGTAATCGTAAGGTTGCGGGTTCGGGGATTCTAACCGCGGGCCCGACGTTGTGTCCTTGGGAAAGGCACTTTACACGACATTTCCCTACTTCACCCAGGTGAAAATGGGTACCCAGCTATAGACAGTGAAGGATCCTGTCAGTTTGCTAGAGTTTGAGCGCTTAACCAGCTGCTTGAACGGTATGCTCCCCGGGAAGCTGAGAATGTTTCTGAGTGTTCTATGGTCTGCTCGGGTAATAATATACTGTAAAGCGCATAGGGTCTGCTTTCGAGTGGGGACAAGCGCTATACAAATGCTAATTACTATTAACTATTTACTATTCCTTTATTTTTTCACCACGATGCCACACTATCGTTCATACTAGGAGAGTTCTGTATGTCTTTTCCGGGCTATGCAAGAAGCAAGACAGAATGGGCAAAATTTGACACTTACAATACTACTTCTCAAGAAAATCGTCTAGCAAATTGAAACATTTTTGGCATCTTTGCTTGATCTCCAAAGGTCAATTAACACGATATTCATTGGATGAGGATCAAACCATTCCTCCTCTACAGACAAAACATCTTCGTTCCCTTGGAAACGCTGTCCTTAGAGAATTTTTTGTTTTAATTTTCAAGACCGACAGCTTTTCTTCTCTTAACAATCAACTAGCCGCCGGCAACATTCTTAATTAATTTCTGAGTTGACTCACAGGCCAGACTGAAACTGTTCACACCTCGGGTTCGCGCTCGGGCCGTACTTTGCCCCAGTCTGGTTTAGGGAGAGGGATTGCGCGGAACAATGTTATGCTTGAACTTACCAGTGCATTTTTCTCTGTCAATAAGATTTGTCTTCTTCGGTATATCATTGATGACTCTTTTTATTGTAATTGTGTACTTAGTAGCCGGCTTTAAAGGTTGTCCAGCTTCCTTATTTCTGCATGTGCTGTTATCGTTCGACTCTGTGCCCACGATGGTGCATGTATCTGTCCTGGAACAGATTAAAAAGACAAGTTTACTTTGAAGAAAACATGAGAATTGACATACGGTAATTACTACAGAAAACTGTCCTACTGAGTCTTTGTGTGTATGTGTGCGTCTGTGTGTGTGTGTTTGTGTTTGTGTGTATGTGAGTGTGTGTACGTGTGTCTGTATGTGTGTGTCTGTATGTTAGAGCAT